GCATAAAATATTTCCATGGGACCATAAAATACATCACCCATACACACTTCCTGTAGGTAGAATATGAATGTAACCACTCCGCGCAGAAATACAAAAAATGTAATGATGTTTCAAGTGCTTTGTGACTAAAACATTCCAATATGGTCACTGTTGCGGGGAAAAAAATGATAAGGAGTTTAAAACCAAAGGTAACTTACGTTCTATTCCGTCGACGTGAAAGCTGGTTATCATCGAACCATGAAATTTGGCGGATATCCCGCCAAAGTTGCGCCTATCGTTCCTACGAAATTGTGAAAGAACTGATGCCTCTTTATTTAATAAACAATAAATTTTAAAGCCACTTCATTTTTGTGTTCCGTAAAAAGGCTTGCGTCTATTTCTACTGTTTTGTTACGTTTATTTAAAAAAATTCTTTTTTGACTGAAATGAGTACAGACTTCTCGCAGGTAATTTATTTCAGTGTGTTACTTTTTTTTACGACCATATTCAACTAACCATATTGTTTGTGTCAATTAATACCCACTGATTTTGATGATAGGATTCCATAACTTTAAAGAATATTCACTGCTTGCTATTCTTTAGATGGCAGGTCCCAAATTTTAACTATTGTTTTCAAAATAGAAGAAAAAATACGACAATAACAGTTAATTTAAATCGTTTTAATCGTTAATTTAAATCATTAAAATAAAACGTGGCTATTCGAGAATCAATCGGGATTACATCAGAAGAAAACATTAATGTTATGCGTGTTTTGTTACGTTACGCTTACCTAGAATTGACGCAAAATCGTGCTGCTTGGCGATAGTCTAAGGATCGACGCGATAATGCGCAAATTCCAAACCAAATACATTTATCAAAAAGTTAAGCTTTTGTTCGTGCAAACTTTAGGGAAAATGTCTGTGCTTCTTGAAAATTAACGAAAATTGGTAATTGCATATTTGTCTCTTCACCATTTTGATAAACAAAAACTGCCACCAAGCACTGTGATTTAGTTCCAGTAATGGATAAGCGTGACTTTACCACCTGCTCGTAAGATCTTCAACTGGTTTTATGCAGCCGCTATTGATTCTTGATAAACCAGTTGGGAAGTATTCAGCCAGCTTCGTTTCTAATCTACAGTTGCTTCGGATTCTTGTAAGGATTAAAAAACTAATGAAATATGAACTGCAGATTCGAGCATTGATCACGAACGTAATTTATAAATTCTTATACTAGTGCGTATACTCCAAGATTCTCGGTTCGGGAAAATGGCACAATAAGAAAGAAAAAACACAGCGAATTTCCACTTAGATTTGTATTTAATTGAGTTTAAACGGCATCGACATCGTAAAGAATAGGACCATTTTTTGTTGTTTTTAAATGACAAGGAGTTCTGGCCACCGGAAGGACTATCGCAAGTTTTAATGAAATTGTCAAAAAATTTCAAGGCTTGACTTCATGTTAATTTAAGTTTTATATGCTGTATCCGTAGATTATGCAACTCAATAAAAATTATCTGTGGTTTTATTTTTAAATAAAGAACCGCCTTCAAAATTCCTTTAGAATCATTGGAGCAAGTTTGGCAAGATTTGCGCCAGCTTTTACGTCGACGAGAACCACTTTCTCGGTCGACGGGAAAACACGTAAGTGCTCTTAAATGTTGGGAATAAAATTGGTACTGTTGTTCTGTTATCGTGACCGGGCCCAGAAATGTATGTATATATGCATGTATGTATGTATATATATATATAAAATGTTGTATGATGTTAAATCCATTTAGTGCGAAAACAAGTTATTACTACTTGCGCAATTGCTGCAAAGTTAGTTAATAATAATTTATTTCCTAAATAGTATATATATGGTTCAAAAGAATAAAATAAAATTAAATTTAAATAATTGTCCTGCGCCACTGGATGACGAAACACGAATTGAATAATTGAAGTTAGGTTTGGAGGCAGCTTCTCCTTGATAAGTCTGTCTCCTGCTTCTCAACAATTATTCACTTATGCATTTTTATAAATTTTTAGGATTAAAACTTTATTGGAATTTATATTTATTCATAGATTTTGATACTTGCACTTGATTTACATATGCTCTTTGAATTTAAATGATATTGTAGATTAGTTCACAGCAATAATTAAAATTATATATTTGTAATTCATTTTCATTGAAAATGTAATTAACTTAAAATTTGCTTTTTACAAATAGAGAATGTTTGTTAAATATATATATATATATATATATATATATACGTATATGTATATATATATATACATGTAGCTATGTGTCTGTGCACATTCATATATTCACATTCATCCATACACGTGTGCATACGTACACCTAATTCTGAATCCGTACCTAATAACAGAAGAGTACCATAAAATTAAATGGACGAAACAAATATTAATAAAAAAAGTAAAACCTGTATATCACTAAAGAAACTAGCTTACGCTTGAAAACTTAAATCGAAACAGGCTTAATCAACCTTAAGACTTGAAAATTCGACTATCATAATTTCCTTTGCATTATCTCAGAAATTTCAACAATGTTATTCTTTGCAGACTTGAATGCAGAAAGCGGTTCAAATTATTCGCTGTAAACAAATTTCGGAAACTTTTTATACTTGCATATTTTTCTTATGACACTTTCACTGTATTATTTATATATGCTTGGGCCCCACCAATGGTCCAATGGTTAAGAGAGCTGAATACTGGGGGTTCGACCCGGACGCGTAATGGCAAACCGCACATTCAATTGATCAATATTAAACGAATTTCGCATGCCCAGAAGAGAATTTGGCGCAATTACGACTTTGGCACAATTTTTAAAAGAAGATAAATACGATGCATGGTTGATACTCTGTTATCTGGGCGTAAATAGTTCGGGGTTTTAAAACTTAGTTACGTTGTACGTTGCTTCCTTACGTGGAGTGTAAACATCAATTGTAAGCTATGCAAATTTTCATTTAAGAATGATTAACACAGGAAACAATGAAGATAACATACATAAAATAAGATAACAGGAAACATTACAAGATATATTAGCTGAATGTTTATTGATTATACTTCTGAGGAATAAAAACAATTGATTATTTATCAAACGTTCCTTTCGTGTATTCTTTGAAACATTAAGGAATAAATCCAATTTAAATTACTGAATTTAAGTAAAAGAAATTAATATAAATAACTGATATTAAATAAAACGTTTATGAACAAAGTAAACCAAAATGAAATGAAAGAGAAGCAAATGCATTAAATACAAACAAATTTCCGTAGTACTGCAAATGTAAATAGTGATAAGACTTGCATGGGGAACAGGCTTGTGTAGGTTGCTTATGCCCTTAGTCGCCAGTATTTCCTCCCACACCATCGGTACAAGACTGAGCACGCGTAGTAAGCGAAATTTATTAACATTGATCAACTGTACGGTTTGCCATTACGCGAATCCCGGGCTCCATCCTCGCAAACAGGCTGGCTGTATGGTTGGTTTTCGTAGCTTTTCCCATGCAAACGTGAATGCGAATCAATTTGCCTTAAAAATTTTTCCACGAAGGCATCCCTTCCCTTTAGGTAGATAACTCTTGTGTGTTTTGCCATATTTAGGTAACCTAATCCAGCCTTATTTATGCTTGGGCTGCTCAGAAGATGGCTTCTTATCGCGAACTTAGAGGAAACACCTGAGTGATTGAATTAAACAGAAAAATTGGTTAGAAAAATTTTATAGATATGAGGGTGGACCCAAAAAATAGATTACAAGGGTAATAAAAATTATTTATTAACAATAGCCAGAAAATACGGAAGGGAATTAAGAGGCGTACTTGCCTATCATTTTCCCACGCAGTCATCAAATCTATTTAAGCATTTATCTGAACGCAGGACCAACTAATTTAACCCGGCTTTATAGAAATCATATCCCTGCCCATTCAGCCCGTTCTGAGTGACTGTTTTCACATCACTGTCTAAAGAGAACCTCATTCCTGATAACTGTTCCTTCAACGTAGGAAAAAGAAAATAGTCACTGGATTCTAAACCTAGGCTTATATGGGGGGTGGTGACTTCAGATTTTCCACTTAAACTTGAGGAGGATGCAGGAGGAGGACACCATCACTCAACGTGCTAGGGCGCTTGCGTCAGATGCTTTCATGTAACCTTATCTAAGAGGCACATTACCGATGGGCAGTTATGGCCACCCTCCAGATACTTGAAACGGGCAACGAATCACGGATCGCATCTCAAAGAGATCACTTTTCTAAACTACTTGCCATTTCAATCGCTCTGACGCGTCTGCAGACTTACTTTGCCTATCCGCACAACCGCTGCTAGACAACTAGTGCCATCTGCCTACACCCTGGGGATAAAGTATTCCCTCCACAATAATTACTTTTTAAATGCTGATACTTGTAATCTTTTTTGTTTTTTGATCTACCTGAGTAAATGCTCTAGCATGATCGGTCTTCACGAAGTTGAGAAAGGGGATGTCCTAGTAGTTAGATGATAACCACTCACCTTTTGGTTGAGCCGTCTTAGATTTATTTCATGCATCAGATATATTATTAATATTAAAAGTATTAGTTAGAAGCACTCATGTGTTACACGGACTCATTGTTACATTAAATGTGCCTTGAATAGGAGTGCGTAAAATTTCTCTCCTTTATCTCCATGTTTATAATGAGGGACTATGAAGCGAATTAGCACAACGATCACTTGATGCCGAACAGAATTTTACATTCTATTTTTCTAAAATCCTGATCAAATTTAAGCATGTATAAAAATAATGGCAGGAAAGGCAAGGATTGTGACAATGGAATTGCATTAATTGTAGTTTATTTTATTTATTTAACTTTTTTTTATATAAAGTATTTTTAAACTAGTCTTCTAGGGATATTTATTCTTCTCCAGACTATACAGGATTGTGTAGTAAAAATTTAGGTTTACTCTTGAGTAGATTCTTGCATTTTTGCATAATAACAAAAGAAAATTAAAGAACATGAAAAGAAAGATAATTGCACACAAAACAATTACCTGCCAAGGCCAAGATCCAAAAGCAGAATTTTTTCCTCCAACAACTTTCTTTTGCGGATGAGGATTTTGTATTCCACAAGGAGTAACTAAAAATAACACATAGTTTACATCACTATATCAATTTGTTTCAGTGGGCGTACATAAGCTGGCACGAAAGCATCAATATAAATTAATTTACAATGTGCTGAAAAGAAATTCCATATTACCAAAATTTTAGCCTCCGAGTTTTAAATACTGAGTTTTGCTAATTTTATAATTATCCTTTTTATGCAAGTTTACATCCCTCAGTTTTTCTCACCAACATTAATAAAAAATTAGTAAACGAAAAAGCAAATTCATACATATATTATTAGTTAAATTAATTAAAAGTTATCCATGTTATTATCATTTTAACTCATGAAAATGAAAATAAAAAAAAATTTTTCTTACTTGGTAATGGAGTCGTTGTTTTAGAGGATGCGGCTGTGGTTAATTGCTCTGATGAAAACTCAAAGAATGGGTTCCAGGGCTTCAGAGTGATTATTTCTACTGGTTCCTTTGTCGGTTTAAAACTCGGTACTGGCCTAACTGGCGGTCGGAAACTTATTTCTTGATCTAGTGAACTTCCTTCTGTAAAGGAACTGTTTAACCACTGCGTTACTAACCCAGAAGGAGGGGGGGCTTTCGTTGTGGTATTCTTATGGCTTTCAGGTGTAAACCAAAAGTACTGAGTAGAGCTCGTATGATTAAACTGAATATTGGGTTTAAAAATGGTCGAGAGAGGTAACTTTGGTTCAGTTGTGAACTTCGATGTGGTTGATAATGGGTAAACCGTTGTAGGCTTTTGTGAAGTAGAGGAAAATGAGTTGGAAATTGAAGGTTTAGTAGAAGTATCGACATATAGTTCGGAACTGTTCGGCAGAGTAGATTTTACTGTTGTAGTATTTGGCACATGGAAATTTGAAGATTGGGTTGTAAGCACTGATACAACATAAGAGGGTTGTGTTTGATGGTAATTAGTGAAAGTAAAAATCTGTGGCTTTTCGCTTGGTTTTTTAGTAGTTGGAGGTCTCGGTTTCCAGGAAGCTTGCGTAAATGGGTATTTTGTAGTTCTTTGCGTTGTCTGAGGCCGACGTGTGCTGGAAAACTTTGCAGGAAAATTGGTAATCGTAACTAATACGGATGGAATACCAGATGGGCGAAACCAGCCTTTCGAATCGGTCGTTGGAGCGACAAAGCTGTAACCTAAACGTACAAGATAATGAATATCAAACAATCAGAATAAATTTTAAGCGAATACAAACTTTGCAAAAATAATTTTAAATATAATAATAAATGTATACAATATTAACGAAGTATATTCTTATTAATAAAATGCTTAATGTTCTAAAAAAAGCTAATTTTAGTAATTCGTTAAATCAAACTGATTCTGATAAACAATAAAAAAGCTTCATTTAGTTTTATCCCCATTATTATTTTTAATGTGCTGACTGAATATTTTTTCGGATCACTCTTGTTTCTTCCAGATTAAATTCATCAGAAACCAAGTAGCGAAAATCGAAAACTCTTGAAGCTTTATCAAGTACATGAGTGTGTGAAAAATGAAAATATTCATCAGTACCACATATAAGCGAGCAACAAGCCGCAGGCAAAAGGACTGCCACAGCTGATAGGTAAGCGAGGGAAGAAAAAGTAGATATTTTTAGATTTTTAATTAGTTGGTAAATTTAATCAAAGAGATGTTTATTGCCTGTATCTCGAATCTGCGCTGAGATTGAGTGGTATTACGAACTGGTGCTTTAAAGTAGCACTACCGCATGATCTCTAGTCACTTATGAGTAAAAAAATAGCTTAAGAGAATACATATATAAAAATATTTGTCACTTACTTCGTGGCATCATTACTTCACGCAAAAAGTAGTATCTTAAAAATCCCAGATATTTGTAGCAAAAGAAATATGCACAGCGTTATGTAAGCTTTTCACAAATTTTTCCAAGCCACTCAAGTAACATAATAATGAACTATTTATGGAGTTCGTTTCAAAAGATGAAAGGAAATTTAAATTTAGGACAAAAAAAAAAAAAAATTATTCCACTTAAACGCGACCATTAAATGTTTCCAGATCAATTTTAAAAGAAAACAAAATTCGCTGGATAAATGAATTAAATTCAAAAGTGATCCAAAAGTAAGAATAAAAATAAAAATTCATTAATTCGAAAAATATAGACGGTGGCAAGATACAGTTTTTTCAAAAATGCAAAAAAAACAAAGGGATTTTCAAAACTTTTAATGCAAAATAGTCATATTTTCTGCAATAGGTGGCGCTGTAGCAGTTCCGTATGGAGCTCTGTGACGATCACCCAGGATCATCACCCTTATAAAGTCCAACATGTGAAGAACTGAAATCAACTGATTTCGAGAAACGTCGAGAGGCTTTTCAACAAATAGAAAATAATGCGGACTGGCTGGCAGATATTCCATGGACTGATGAGGAGGTATTTTTCACTAATGGAAGTGCAAATGTACATAGCTGCCGCATTTGTGCGAAAGATACTGCAGTGTTATTCTGGGGCTCTGCTGCCTAACCAGCAGCTCTCAGAGCAATTACAGAGTTCCTTACGAAGTTTTAGAATGAATGGTATATGAAACTCTTCCTCGCAGGAGCTCTTGTATGGTGAAAAGCAGAGAAGAGGCCCTTTGTCTCTGTATTAGCTAGAGTCGTCACGCGTCTGGTGCCATCTATAGCTCTAAGAGAAAAGGGCGAAAGAGTATATTTACGCCCTTTTTAATACTGGTTGTGAAGCAAAATATTCCACGCCACTCTATGATGAACTTCTTTATGAACTCTATGAACTTCTTTAATATCGATGTAAATGACATGCTGGAAGCGTTCAGCAGCACACCAAAATCAGGGAAACGGCAGTATGGTACTGATAATTTGTAACTCAGCTTAAATATTGTCGCTCGCTCATGTGATCTATGGAAATTTAAGCTTAACGCTAGTAGATGCCATGTCATCCTTTTTTAGAAGATATATTAAAAAAAAAAAAAAAAAAAAAAAAAAAAAAAAAAAAAACAAGCTGTCAGCCTTAGTTATACGGATCAATAACCAAAACCTTTCAGGTCTGGATTTTAAGAAGTACCCTGGGGCCATTTTAGACAGTCAATTAAACTTCAAAGAACAAGTTGATCACATTTTTTTTAAACCGAGCTAATGCTGCCTTTGTGGCAACTGACAGTATTATAAGGTGAAAATCAGGGTTTCTCTTAAAAGTGAAAAGGATACTTTATCTGGCTTTAATCCATCTAGAACGTTTTCACGCTCTCCTGTATGGGCAACTGCATTAAAAACCTATAGAAAGAAAATTCTTTTCTTTCAGAATAGGATTCTGAGAACGATTAGAGACTATTCGCCGTTTTTAAGGAACGAGCCAATTTATGAAGATCAAACGGTACAACGTACTCAAGACTTTATTCTGACAACTTCTCATATTTTTTACGCAGATTATGAATTAAAAGTTTACCCTAAGAACTGGCAGATTACGATCCAACGGTCGACAAATACGCTCAAACGACATCGAACCATCCATCAGAATACTGCTTATTAGGCAATAAACTGTGACTGTGCATATAGTATTTGCATGATTGCATTTTTATATTCAAGAATGATTTAGCATTGTGCCTTCTTGGTGTAGTGGCTCTGCACGCTGGGTCGGTATTCCATAGGTCAGAAGAAGAAGATTTAGCATTCTTAAGTGCTGTGTACTTTCTTTTCCCTACTGTGTTTGAAAAATTCAACTCGACATATTATTCCAATCTCTAAGTTTGCATCCATTTTAATATTTTGCACCTAAGTTTGTATTCAATTTTTTTTTCAAAGCTACTTCTGTTATTCCAAGTCCTTATTATTGTGTATATCAGGGTGTATATGTCCATAATTTCCTGATGCTCACTGCCACATAAGTGCCAAAGTTCAGTTTAGCACTCATTTCTGCCTACAAATTTCCGCTACCAGCTCCATCAGCTATAATTCTCTCGTCGTTTATCGGCAGTGCTCTGCATTTGCTTCATATTTAATTGTCAATGGCCAAGAACATCACAATATACAGATTAAAACCGCAATTATTGTATGCCTGATCAACCTATCATGGTCAGTAGTACGAACTTTTGGCACGGCTGCAGCACGCATATTCACAAAGCCTACAGCCCGTTTCTTCTACTCTTTGCTGCGATTGGTTAAAATAGGAAACGTAGGGTTACAGAATCTTGTGATTGGCGACTTTTGCTTCATCGCCTTTACTCTTTGTATATGAGCGTAGTGTAACGGAAAGTGTGTGAAAGCCAGCGGAGAAACCGCAGCTCAGGGGTAACGAGCGCAGTAGAAATTCTCGACGTTCTAGATCGCCGGTTCTGTCCTTGCTCATAAGTTTTACAAACTCTGGCCCTGCACGGATTTATTTTTATCCTCACTTTATTGACTTTGTCATTATTGGCCTTTTCGCCTTCGGGTGCCGTGTTAAAAATTTAACACCTTTAATTTCTCAATTTCTGTTAATGCTAATTTTTCTTATTTTTATTTACTGGTTTTGTACTCTTTGTAGTAGGTACCAGTAGCAAGATTACGATCCAAGATCCCGAAAAGCGTTTCAACAGAAATAGCGCATGATGGAATAAAACATAATTTTAGTTATACTTGCTCATAATTTAGGTAATAAGAATACGACGCCCTTAAATGTTTGTTGAATGTTTTCATTTGGTTTATCTTTTTAATATTTCTTTATTTGTATAAATTAACGCGCTATGGAAATTTATACAACAGACTCTTTGTAACAGAAATGACGAAAAAGTCCATATACCATTTCTATGTAAACACTTTTTCTTGCAAAATAATATCGTACTTTTAACAGTTTAAATTCAAATATAGATATACTATTAATAAGATCAGTATGTTATTTAAAATATATTTCACACAATTCCCCTTAACTTTCATTCATAAAATTTAAAAAAAAAAAATATTGAATGAAATAAACGCTGTTTCTCCTCGCTGTATTGAAAGCCCACAAGGTTTGTTTGCCATTAATTACCATGCCTACAAGGCGATAACCCGCCATTCCAAATATGACTGCCAAGCAGATGTTTCATCCAATGAGAACAGACCGTAGAAGACATGGTCTGTAGGCTTTGTGAATATGTCTGCAGCACTGCCTCTTGTTGAAAAGTCTAACTATTCTGACAATAAAATCGTTCATTGTTAAAAACTAATTCCCATGTTTTTCTGTGTATTTTAATGGAAACTATATTGTGTTGCTACCTGTATTTTTCGAATTACTGAATTTTTGCTTTTCCTGTTATTTTTGGATCATGTGGTGTAAAAGAGTCGTTTAACGTTCGCAAGACAAATCGTTGAAGTAAAAAAATGTATGTCAGGAAAATCATTAAACTTTAATGCCACCTATCTTTAAATGCGTAAAAAATCAATTAACTAAAATAAATAAGTAGATATACACAGCAATAAAATTCTTAAATGCATACTAGAAAAATAAATTGTGATTTAAAACATGCAACAGATTAAATTTCTGTCAAAAAAAAAAAAAAAATAGATGTGAAAAAATGAAATATATGTGAAATATATGCAGCAAAAATTTACGAAAATTTCATTAAGAAATTGTTCAAACGATATATAAATTAAAATTTTAAAATACATGATGACAAAAGCAACTTTCAATTTATTAAATGAATTCTTTTTGATTTGAGAGGTGGACAAACAAAAGTTTGCTTTTTAAATTAGCGAACTAATAAACCTTATTAAATAATTAAAAATCTAAAACTATCTACTATATATTCCTCTCCTTATCATCATATGTGTCCAGGCCTGAAAGCCTGGGCCAAAAAGAGTCAGTAGACGCTTCTCTAACAATAATCAACCGCATGAATTTTCGTTATTAATTGTATGTTTATTAACAAATATTCGGAAAAGGATTAAAATAGAAAAATTTGTAATGATATAAATTTCGTTTAATACAAATGTATAATATAAATATCTATAGAATGAAATTAAATAATAAATTAAATAATATGTATATTTAGAAGGGCGGAAGACAGATTCATTGGCATATAAATTCAGATTATTATATTCAGATTCCCAAAATTTAGGGGCGGGAATGTTCTATAGGCGCCAGACGGCAGAAAGCATATCGCCGGCCATACGTATATTTTCAATATTTCTTTATGAGAACGTCTGCTAT